TTCCACCTCAGGCCCTCATACTTTGCAGACAAGCGTTCTTACCCACTGAGCTGTCTCCCCAGCACAAGCCTGCTACAGTTTTATGTTTATATACTAACCAGGCTCTGTGTCAGAAACCTAACTAGATAGTTAATTACAGCAAAAGTAGTAGCCAGAGGACTATCAGAGCAGGATTTCCTCTTGTCCTGTCCTTTTTGATTGGTCATGTGAAGAGGCCAGAGAGTTACATATATAGTCAGTGAATTTGCATTCCAGGAGAGAAGGCTGAAATGAAGATATTCTAAATTGCTCTTTCTCTTTAGGGAGCTACCGTCTCTGTTTTCAACTTTGTCCCTCTGTAAATATCGTTGGGCGTTTTGCTCAGAGGCCCTTTCTATAGGAATATGAGTAATGCATGGAGAATTGTTTCTTAGCAGTAATTCCAAATTCCAGAAACTTCTTCTGTTCACACTTGAGTGCAGATGTAGGACAACTTATTTTCGGAATTTTATGCACTTCCCTTTCCATCCCTTGCCTTTTTCTTTGGGTTGGTTCATTGCTAAGTAGGAACTGAAGCTCTTTCAGTTCAGCACCTTCAGCTGAAAGAGAACTTTCCTTCCTGAAGAAGTGTTGGGTGAGGGGTGCTGGGGATACAGCTCAGTGGCAGAGTGTTTGAACAGTAAGCTTGAGGCTGTGGGTCCCTCAGCCAGGAGGGTTTGGGGAGATGTCCGGGTGGGGTCCCATACATTCCTGAACTACTACTTGAGGCCGTCTGCCTCTGAAGGAACTTGAGAAGATCCATGATCAGTGTCCCCCAAAGCATGTAGAAGGGAGATGAGAGAAAGGGAGCTTAGCCGAATACAGTGGGATGCTGCTCCCCAAGAAAGAGGGAGGGGATACAAGCGTCAGAGTCACAGGAGCAAATAAACACAGGTCTGTTGTTTACATGCAACTCAGGCTAATTTTTTAAATGCTAGATTATTATCATATAGGCATATTTTCATCTGTTTTATAAAACCAATAATCATACCATGAAAGAAGTTTTCTTTAAAAATATGACTAAGTATTTATATTTATATCTGTTGTATATTTTTAGATATCTGATCAGAATTCAATTTTAAAATAAAGGAAAGTTTCCTGGAGAAGAGCAGAAAACTTGGGGAAAGTACCAGGGCCAGTGAGACAGTGCTGATGTCCAGACTCCGTTGTTTACAGGGCACACTTCCAGGACCCTGACATTCTCCCAACACTCTTCACCCCAAGTGCTTCTCTGCTTCCACCCAGTCCCCATTTGTGAAGAAAAACACAGTTGAGAAATGGAATTCCATTTGGTCTGAGTGTGTTAGAGATGAGAACCTGGGACATTACAGAGTCAGTGGGGGAAGATTAAGGTGTGCTACAAGGACTTACACATTTTCAGTTGTGGTGTGGGAATCTTCGCTAGGTTCTGGTAAGGATGGTAATGCATATGAAGTAATACAAAGAACATACCATTTACTCACAAATTTATAGTATAATAAAGTTCTGTTTGAACATGTCATCAGTGAAGTTGTTACCCATTTTTAAATGAATCCATTCAATATTATGAAAATGCCTTTTCACAGACAACATTATAGAAAAGACCTAGAGATGAAGAGAAAACACATTGGCGCTTTGACTAGCTGTCTTGAGGAAACATTTGGCTGCTCGCTATTGAGCATGGGATCCAGTTGAATAGTTTTCTCTGTTTCATGTAGTGTGTTGAGCATGACCATTTCCATACCACAGCAAAAGACAAAAATGTGAGATTCTAAATAACTCAGTTACAGCATGACAAGAGAGCGAAAGTTTAAATCTTAGGAATTGAGTGGACTGCTCTGATTTGGGGGTGTATTTGGAAAGGAGCATGATTTACACAGTGCTATTATACATTGGTGCACACTTACTGTATTTTATTCCATAGAAATCTTAAAAATGGGAATACTGAAGGTTAGGAACACTTGCTGTTCTTCCAGAGAACTTGAGTTCAGTTCCCAGTACCAATGTCAGGTGACTCATAACTGCATGTAACTCCATCTTCCAGGTATCTGATGCCCTTTTCTAGGCTCCATGGGGACTAGTACATATGTGTCATACACATAGATCCACACACATAAATAAAAACAAATGTACACAGTGCATGGTGGCACTCATTTTTAATTTCAGCACTCGGGAGGCAGAGGCAGGCAGAACTCAGAGGCAGACAGATCTCTGTGAGTTTGAGGCCAGCCTAGTCTACATAGTGTGTTCCAGGTCAACCATGGCTACCTAGTGAGACCCTGCCTAAAAAGAAAAAAAAATCTAAGAGAAAAAAAGGAAAGAAACCTAAAAACTGGGAGCCAGTGAGATGGCTCAGCTGGTCAAGGTGCTTGCCAGCAAGCCTGAGGCCCTGAGTTCAATCCCAGGAATCTCTGTGCTGGAAGAAGATCCCCCGCCTCTACAAGCTGTCTTCTGACCTCCCAATTACTGTATTACTATAGTATAACTGGTATGCTTTTCTGAAAGAGTATAAAAGAAGTGATGATTAAATTCTTATTTGAATATCATTTTAAGTTATACATTCACCATCTACAAGAACTCATTCAAAGCCTTACTTTATACCACTATGTGCTAATCAGAACTGTACTTTACCTTATGATGTAACTCACTCAGTTACACTGTTTGGTGGCTACTGTGTCTCAGGTGTGTTGTGGAGGACAGTAACAATATCAGGAGAGAAGTTCCTTCCCTCAATTACAGTTTAGTGGAAGAAGGGGATTTAATGACACTTTAAATTATACGGAGATTAGATTCACAGTCATGTCAGCATTGAGAACCATGCCAAATCTAGAAGAAATAAAATGTTTGGAGGCAGTGAAGGTACCTTTGGGAACGTGTAGATCATTGGAAGAATCAAAGACTTGGAGAATATGACTGGGAAAGCTGGTCACTTTCCTGACTGAAGGAAAGCAAGTATTTCTTTTGATATGTGTGAAAAGGGGAAGGACAGAACACAGAACAGGCAAAAACAAAATAAAACAAACAAAAACCAGGTGGGGCCAGAGAGATGGCTTATTGGGTAAAGTGTTGGCTGGGCAAGTCGGAACCAGAGTTCAATCCCAGAACCCACATGGAGGTGGAAGGAGAGAACCAACTCCACAGAGTTGTCCTCTGGCTTCCCCACTTGACACACACACACTCACACTCACACGAGGGGGTGGGGTGGAAATGGGGAGAAGAGAGGATAGAGGAGTGTAGATAGGGAATCCAGGCCTTAGAAACAGAAGATGAGAAAGTCATAAGGTTGCAGACTGCATACATACGGCCCTTGGTGTTTGTGTAGATGTTTTCGTGGATTCAGTCATTGCTCAAAAATATTCTGCGGTGGTGGCGCACGCCTTTAATCCCAGCACTCGGGAGGCAGAGGCAGGCGGATCTCTGTGAGTTCGAGGCCAGCCTGGACTACCAAGTGAGTTCCAGGAAAGGCGCAAAGCTACACAGAGAAACCCTGTCTCGAAAAACCAAAAAAAAAAAAAAAAAAAAAAAATTTTGTTGTATTGTACATGTACAGATTTCTTCTTTTCTTGTCCTTATTCCTCCAAAATACTGTATAGTATATAACAACTGATACATATCATTTACACTGTAACATATTGGTACCCTGGAGACAGTTTAAAGCATATAGGATGATGTGGGCAGTTTTTATGCAATACTGTGCCACCTCTGTTATTTTTTATTTTATTTAAAATTATTTTCATGTGTATGTGTGTTGGGGTGCATGTGGAGGGCAGAGGACAACTTTGGGGAGTTTGGGTTTTGCATTTTTTGGTTTTGAGGCAAGGTCTCTCTTGTTTCTGCCGGGCTGTGCTGGGTTCTCCAGGTTAGCTGACTCAAGCTTCTTTGTAGTCTGCGGTCTGCCTCCCATTTTATCTCGCCCTTGATGTGGGGCCTGGCAATCTGAACTCAGGCTGGCGTGTCAGCATGGGCCTTTACGGGTGGAGCCAAGCCCCCTGCTCTGTGCTGTTTGTAGGGCTCCCAGGACTAATCCCTGTGAGTTCAAAGGGGCCACTGTATATGAACATCAGTGATGAAGAAAAGAACCCACGACCAAGAGGTCTCTTAAAAGAACCTCCATTTTCGAGAATTGAGAGAAAAGCAGCCAATCAAGGAATATACTTAGGCAAACTGAAGCATTTGAGACAAAAAATAATGTCTTTGTTGGGAAGATCTTCCTTAACCCTTTGTCATCTTTTGCGTACCTAATTACTTCTTCAGATTGTGACATTTTCCCTCCAATTTTTTTGTAGTTATAATTATATCATTTTGGCCCTTCTCTTTTATCCCCCAACCCTTCCTGAGTCTCCCCTAACTCCCTCTCAAATCCATGGCCTGTTTTTCTTTGATTATATTTGATGTGTGTGCGTGCACGAGTGTGCATAAATATATAAACACAATCTGCTGGGCCTGTTTACTGTTGCATGTATGTACATGATTTCCGGGCTGACCACTTGGTATTGGATAGTAAATTCGGGAACACTTACTAAGGATGACTGTTTACCTTTCAACAGGTGTTATCCGCATGCAGTTCTTTGTCTAGGGGTGGGGCCGCCTGAGATTTCCCCCACCACATATAACATTTTTAGAATAAATGTAGTACCTCACCGTTTCCGCTGTGCTTCCAGCTTGAGGTTAGGTTTATGCTTTGAAAATGGAGAAAGACGAGAGTAGCCTCATCAAAACTGGGAGCTGGGTGGGTTGGGCGGGAAAGAAAGGAGCAAGCATCGATCTATGGAGGCAACTGGAGAAGGAGAGAAGGAGAGAGAGCAAATTCGGGCTGTATGGTGGTATTCCTTGGCGAGGGGAAAAACTGGCAGTTTCTAGAAAGAGCTTTACTCCACTTCACACACACACACACACACACACACACACACACACACACACACACACACACGTTTATCTCTTTCCTCCATAGTGAGTCGTTCTGACTCCTTACATTTCTTCTTACAGCTCAGTTCTTTTGGCTAGACCTATGACCACTGTGTGAGACTTCAGTGCACGCTTTCCCAAGTGACTTCCTCATCCCTAGTGTGTAATTCCTCACCATGGATCTGCTCCTTTAGCTAAGACATGGCCAGCAATGCTAGTAGTAAGGTAGGACTACTTTACTGTTCTTAGTAAACTGCTAAAACCCTGGGTTTTTGGTGTATCCCCTAACCGGTAGTAGTTTGTATTAACATGTTAGTGCTCTTTATATTAGATTATTATACTTCAGAAGGCTACTATCACTTCGCGTGTAATTTATTTTTGCTTGTCATTTATCTTAATACATTTTGCATATGGCACTTGTGATCTGATTAGTTTTTTTCAGCTAATACTTTTGATTGGCAGAATCCCAGTCCGCATATTGCCTCTTTACCCTGTGTGCCCACCAGTCCTATATTTTCAAATGCCTGACAACCAAACTCAACATGCTTTTCTTCTTGAAAACCTCATTCTTTGTTCTGGGTTCTGTATTTCTGTGTTTCCAGAAAGACTCTGAAGTGATATGAAATGAAATTCATAATTAATTAAAAGGTGTATAAAATTCATTGTTAACAAAGCCTTAACTCGTATGTATTAAAAATACGCTGGTCCTGGTGGTGTACACCTTTAATCTAAGCACTCAGGAGGCAGAGGCAGGTGGATCTCTGTGAGTTTGAAGCCAGCTTGGTCAATAGCAATTTTCAGGCCAGCCAGGGCTACATAGTGAGAACCTGTGTTTTATTCTAGCATGTCCAACTATTATTTGTAGCTTTCCTGTTAAGTCCATTTTTGTATACTAGCTAATCCTATGGTAGTTTTTTTCTGTGTTCTGCTTTGTGATACCAGCATTTAACAGGTACTTAAATTCAAACAAACAAAAAACTGTTCATCCTTGAATGTATTTTCTTCCCTTTTACACCCAAGAAACATTCAAAGTCATGTAAATCTTGATGGAAGAGAAGAGAAGAGAAGGAAAAAGGAAAGCACCTCGGATTCCCTGTTGTAGTTAGAAGGTTTTCTCTAGTCCTGCCCGGCCCGTGACCCCACAGCCACTTACAAAATAATTACTCAGAGGCTTAATATTTATAAACTGTATGGTCTATGGCAGGCCTCTTGCTAGCTAGCTCTTATATCTTAAATTAACCCATTCCTATTAATCTATGTTTTGCCACGTGTTGCATGGCTTACCAGTTTGCTAGCATGTTGTTCCTTGAGGGGTAGGCTGGCATCTCTCTCTGCCTCTGCCTTTCTTCTTCTTGTCTCTCTCTTGGATTTTCTGCCTGGCTATAACCTGACTCACCATAGGCCAGAGCAGCTTCTTAATTACCAGTCATAGCAACACATATTCGCGGCGTACAGAAGGACAATCCCCTAGCACCCTGTCTTTCGTGTCATTGGCAAGCTCTTCAGATGACTCCTTACCTTAGAACAGCCAGCTTTCTCTTTGTCTGAGCTAGCCCAGCCTCACCCCGTGTTATCATTTAAGAGTGAGCCCCCAACTTCTCCATGAGCCTCTAAAGCTCTGTGTGACATGTAATTATGGGTACAGTTTCATATGACTTCAGGGACTTGATGGAAGGGAAAGTAACTGGTCTTTACTTTTATATTGTAAGTGGCTTTACTTTGCTCTTTCTTAAAAGTGAGATCTTCCTTGTCACCGGTAGGAAGTCTTTCTAGTATACCCCTCAGTGTTCTGGTGGGTAATTTTAAGACTATTTTAGTTTGAAGGTTTTCCATTATCATGTTAACACACACACACACACACACACACACACACACACACACACACACACACTCTCTCTCTCACACACACATACACACACACACTCACACACACACAATATTAAGCTTCTTTTAATGTATCTAGCATGTGTAGACTCATAGAAGATTCATTTATTATAAACTTGATTGTATGATTTCATCAGAGCATTTACAATTTTTTTTATTTTGTGTGTATGGGTGTTTTGCCTGCGCACGTCTGCACCACATATGTGCACTGCGTGCAGAGGCTGGAAGGGGCCATTGGATCCTCTGGGACTGGAGTTACAGATAGTTGTGGGATGTCACGTGAGTGCAAGAGAATTGAACCTGGGTCCTCTCCTCAGAGCACTTTTTAATTCATTTTTTTTAGGACTGATATTCGAGGTGAAAACTGAAATTTAGTAGTTATTAAAATAAATAGACTTTGTGTTATTCATTTCTTCTGAATTTATTAATAGCTTTATCTTTGTTTCTTTTCTGAAGGATTCATTTTTTAAAAAAATTTATTTTATGTGTGTGCATGTTTTGCCTGCATGCATGTAGGCATGTGCACCACATACATGCCTGCTACCCACAGAGGTCAGGAGAGGGTGTCAGATCATCTGGAATTGGAGTTCCAGATGGCTGTGAGTCACTGCAGTCCTCTGGAAGAGCAGCTGGTGCTCTTAACTGCCAAGTCAACTCTCTAGCCCCTTGCTGAAGGGGAGTTTTAGGTGTTTTGTCATAGTGAAGAGTTAATGTTTATTGTTTGTCCTTTGTGTAAGAGACATTTGGTTAGATGTTTTAAATCTTACCTTTTGTCCTATTGGCCTATATGTTTTTCTATTTTCATGTGGTTATCTTCTTCAAATTTAATTTAAGGAGAAAAGAAAAAAGAAATTGCAAGAAACTGCAAGCGTGCGTACGTGTGTGTGTGTGTGTGTGTGTGTGTGTGTGTGTATTTGAGCACAGGTGCCCATGGCCGTCAGGGATTGGACTTCTGCCCCTGGAGTAGCAGTTGGTTGTGAGCTGCCCAGCATGGGTGTTGGGGACCAAACTCAAGTCCTTTGCAAGAGCAGCCATCTCTCTGGCTTTTTTTAATCTTTGAGTTGTAAGGCTGAGAGATCAGGGCAGAAACTGGGGATTTAAGAGCTGCCTTGTACCTTTGGAGCTTAGCCAGGCCTCTCTGTAAGGGGATCCTGAAGGGCTCTGTGACTTGCCCAGGGTCTTGCAGCTGGTCCTCAGGGTTTTGAGGACTGGTCTGGTCTTACTCCTTATGCCCCAGTCACCCTGGGTTCCTCTCATTCTGTCTTCTGTTTCAGTCTTTCATTTTGACAGTTGGTCTTGCTGCAGAAAAACTGAAGATATAGGATAGTGAATGTGGGTATATTTCTTGTCATCTAGATTCACTCTAACATTTGCCCATGTTTTCGTTCTTTACATATTTATGTAGTTTGAAACCATATTAAGACATCACAACTAAAGCTAGGCATGGTGGTGCATGCCTTTGATCCTAACATTCGGGAGGAAGAGGCAGGGGGATCTCTAACTTTGAAGGTAGCCTGGGCTGGTCTATAGAGTGAGTACCAGGACAGTGAGGGATACACAGAGAAAGCCTTTCTCAAAAAACAAAAACAAACAAAAATTACCATAACTAATTGTTAGCATGCAGATTCTGCAAATAAGGCAAATAAGGATAATTTCCTATATACTCATACTATTGAGGTCAAATACAAAAAATTAGCATTCATTAAGAAGTATGTTTGATGTTTGTTTTAATCCATTTGTGATGCTGTAGTATAACACCTATACTAGTTAACATATAAACAACAGGAATTGGTTAATCACATCTCTGGAGGTTTGGAAATGCTATATCAAGGTATGCTGGCAGGTTTGGTGGTTGATGAAGGCCTGTTCCTCATATATGACAATGAGTGTCTTCACATTGAAGAGGGAATGGAAAGGTGGGGAGGCTGTTCCCTGAAGCCTCTTTTTAGTGAGCATTAGGCATATCCTTATGAGGAGAGCACTCATTTCTTCCTATATCATTGTGGAGGTTAAATACCAATGCAGATTTTTGTTTGTTTGTTTGAGAGCCAAGGAGATTTATTTATAATTATATTTTTTGAGATTATAATATATCATTTTTCCCTTCCCTTTCCTTCGTCTAAATCTTTCCATATATCATTCCTTGCTCTCTTTCAAGTTGATTGCCTCTCTTTTAATTGACTTGTTATATTCATATATATGTACGCATATATTGTTAAATACATAAATACAACCCACTTAGACTGTATAATACTAATATGTACATTTTCAGGGCCGATCATTTGGTTTTGGATAACCAATTAGTGTGCTCTTTCCTGGGGAAGACTGTTTCGTAGCTGAAGTTTTCCTGTGTCCCGCCTGGTCTGAAGCTACTTAGACCCAAGTAAACACACAGAGGCTTATATTAATTAAAAACTGTATGGCCATTAGCTCAGACTTTATACTGACTAGCTCTTACACTTAAACTCAGCCCATTCTGTTAATCTATATGTCACCATGTGTGCTGTGGCTTTACCTGTGTGCCATTACATGCTGCTCCCTATCCGTCAGGCTAGTATCTCCTGATTCAGCCTTCCTCTTCCCAGACGACTTGTCTGCTTATCCTGCCTATACTTCCTGCCTGGCTACTGGCCAATCAGCATTTTATTAAACCAGTGTACAAAAGCATTATTCCACAGCATTTTCCCTTTTTTGTTTAATTAAAAAGGAAAGTTTTAACTTTAACATAGTAAAATTATATATAACAAAACAGTTATCAAGCAAGAGTTGTAGTTACAACATCTAGTCTACTTATATTTGGCAAATTCAAAGAAAATATTTTATTTATCCTATATTTGTGAGTCTAAGGTTTCATTTCTAAATGATCTCTTATCATAACTAAGGAAAATTATAACTATCTAGTCTTTAACTACATCAAAGACCTCAGAAAGATACAATATTATCTAAGTAAACAGGAGGAGCATTGTAAGCAACTTCAGAAATCTAGAATGACAGAGACAGCTGTCTGGACAGTCATCCAAAGTTCCTCTGTAAAGTTGGGGCATCCATCTTTAGCCCACAGGCCTAGAGTCTCCCAGGCATTTTTCTCTGTGTCCTGTAGAATGTCTGGCAGTTTCTTCTGCGAAGCAGGAACCTGAAGGACCATCTCACCTTGCAAAGTTCAGTGGTCACCTTCCTATCGGTCCTGCATGTCCAGTTGATACATTTTGTCAAACAGTCCAGGCAAGAACAGTTTCTTGTCCAAATGGCTATTTTTGTCAAGAAGAAGATAAACTCCATATGGAGTGTCTCTGACATCTATCCTCCTCTCTGAAGTAAATGGTGCTGCCAGGAGCAGATGT